GGTCTTAAGAACTGATCGAGGGCGTGAATATATGTCTAATCAGTTTATGCAGTTATATGACGAAAAGGGTATAGTAAGGTAGCTAACTACTCCTCGAACACCCTAATAGAATGGAGTAGCTGAAAGAAGAAATAGAACTCTTATTGAAATGGTCAGGTTAACGATGACTCAAGCGAAATTGTCAATCACCTTTTGGGGTGATGCTTTATTGACTGCTGCTTATATCCTTAATCACGTACCTTCAAAATCTGTTGCTTCCACACCCTATGAGTTATGGACTACTAGAAAACTTTGCCTAGTGCTCTGAGACCATGGGGTTATGCCACTTATGTAAATGAGTCATCATATCCACATGGAAAATTAAGTCCAAAATGTAAAAAGAGTATATTTATAAGATACTCGGAACACTCAAAAGAATATGTGTTCATTGATGAACAAGAAAGTGGAAGTGTAATTGAAATTAAATCACGAGATGCTACTTTCTTAAAGAATGATTTTCCAAGGAGAGGTGAGATCAGTGATAAGCTATCCCTATTTGGAAATTATAATCAAAATGATTTTTTTCATCAAATCTATTATGGGATAGTCTTAGTACTGTACCAACAGTATCTCATCCAAGTGGGAGATATCTGAGCACTACGTGTGATTTGAAGGAACCATAAACCACTCGTGACTCAATTGATCAGTTGTCACGTGATTCAATGGAATCAACATGTGAACAATCAGCATAACCATAAATAAGGCGTAGTAATCGTGGTAGAATATCGAAACGTCATTTTGACAATGAATGATATGATTACACTCGATGATGATGAAGAGCCAAGAAGTATTCAAGAAGCTCTTCGATGTGCCAATAGAGAGAAGTGGATGAAAGCAATGGAAGAAGAAATAGAGTCAATGAAAGTTAATAATGTTTTGGAGTTAGTCGATCTCCCAAAAGGACGCAAAGCAATTGGTAACAAGTGTATTCTTAAAATTAAACGTAAGATTGACGGCCCTATATAAAGCCCGACTTGTAGCAAAAGGATTCACTCAATAGGAAGGAATAGACTATGATGAGACTTTCTCACCTGTTGTGAGGTTTACCTCTATAAGACATCATGGTTATGGTTATGAAGACCATTGTGTGTATGTCAAAACAAACAAAGATAAGTTTGTGATTCTTTCACTATATATAGATGACATACTGTTAGTTGGAAAGGATAAGGAGTATGTGTTAGCCATTAAGGAATGATTGTCCTCAAACTTTCAAATGAAATATATGGGTGGAACAGCTTATATTTTTGGAGTTAAGATTGAAAGAGATTGCCAAAAAAGGATGTTAGCTTTGTCACAAGGTCAATACATCCAGAAAATCTTTGAAAATTTTAATATGTAAGACTACAAACCCATTGATACTCCTGTCGCAAAAGGCGAAAATTCAAGTCAAAGAATGTGTCCTACGACTCTTGAGAAAACAGAGTTCATGAGAAAAGTTCCTTACCAAAGTGCTATTGGAAGCCTCATGTATGTCATGATGTGTACGAGACTAGATATCTATTTTGTCGTTGGCATGGTAAGCAGATACCAGTCAAACCTTGGCCAACCCCATTGGAAGGCTGTTAAGAGAATACTTCAGTATCTCACAGGCACTATGAATTATTCATTGTGCTACCAATAAAACAATTCAGAATTAGAAGGCTATTTGGACGCTGATTGGGAGGAGATATGGATGAAATAAAATCCACTTCGGGATATGTCTTCTTACTCAATAAATGACTAATATCTTGGAGTAGCAATAAACATACTTGTATAGTCTTATCTACAATGGAAGCTGAATTTGTGGCACTTTCAGCGGCGCTACAATAAGCCGTATGACTTAAGAGATTCGTAAGTCATTTGGGATTTAAAACAAGTACGCCTAACTCAATATTGGTAAACTATGATAGTCGGACTGCTATAACTTTCACGAATGATCCCAAATATCACTCTAAAACAAAGCACATAGATATCAAATACTATTTTGTTAGAGATATGATTGCACAAAAGGAAGTAAATGTGCAATATATATCAACTAGCAACATGGTTGTGGACCCCTTTACTAAGCCTATTCTTGGAGATGTATTTAATAGCCACATTAAATATTTAGGATTGTGAAAGCTTTAATTTTGTATTTCTGAACAAATTGTATTGTGTATTTGAACTATGGAATAAAGTTTTGTATTTCATTATACATACACACAAAATGTTTAGTACATTTAATGAGAAGTATGTCGGAAAGTAGATTGGATCTCTCACACAAGCAATCGCTTCTATGACTTGTGTGTCAGTTAGAAATAAGATAATTTTAAGTAATTTTATTGTAATAGCAGTACAATAAAAAATGAGATCATGTACTTGCTTAAAATGAGATATCGCCTTGATCTGTTATCAAGATGAGATCATATTATGATCGAATGTGACAAATCTCGTTATTCACCTTAAACTGTCTTTGAATGCAGATGGAAGTCATATTATCATTAGTTGATAAAATATTAAGGTAGAGTTGTGGACTCATGTTAGATATTGAGTATATCTGAACCATCATCTTTACAGTATTTAGTTGAGACATACACCCTAACGAGAAAAAGTAAAATACTGTAACATGTGTTTCATACCACGTGTGCACAATTTGACCACCAAGGGTAGCAGAAGTTAATTGATCTCTACTTCTTGGATGTGTGAGACCTGTGAGATTAAGAAATCTCCATAAATACCCTTATGACCTTTTTTTTGCTAAAATTTGGAAGTTCTATTGTAAAGTTAGTTTTCTTAAGGAAGTTGCCAATGGTCATGAATGATTCGGTCTAATGGGACCCACCTAGAAAGCAGTTGTTTGGGAATGAAATCATTTAGGAAAGGGAATCATCTCGTGTAACATTATAGTGTATTCACAACTCGACCAATTATATTTTTGTAATATAATGGTGAATACACACATATATGAAATTAATATTTCAAAAGAGATCATGAGTTGTGATGAATGTGCCTAAATGACTCTAGGGCACTTCATATTGACTCTACTCAATTATTTAAGTTACTTTACACACTTAACAGTTGTAAAGTGACTTGTTGTTGAAATTAAAGTATGACGGTCACATGGCTTATTTTTCTTGTGTGATTTTTTATATTGGTGAATTGGAATGTGTTTCTTATTTTTTAATACATTAAAAGAGCCTCATAAGAATATGGGACATAGTGTTTTTTTTTTATCCATCCATAATGAAAGTACATTATGTGAGAGTGGGAGATGTAGGATTTATTAAATGAATGGGGGATAGGTGGTTTTTGGTGGTGTGAGGGATTCCTGAAAAAAGCCACAATGAGATTTTTGGTAGAGAGATTTTTTCTACCCGTAACAACAAGAGTTGTCTGTCTCCAAATTCTTCACCAGTTGAAGAATTCAGGCTGTGAAATGTGGGATTTATTCGTTCATGATTAATCTCCAATCGCTACTTGGTTTTCGTAGATTCCGTTGCGACGCTACAAAAGGTTAGTATCTAATCCTATGAAAAACCTACATATCGTCAATTTCATCTCCGAAAGCCCATGAAACATAAGTTACTACTTCCTCCTCACTTTCATTGCTGCTTCAATAGCTTTCATCCCAAGCAGCTTTCATAGCCTTCCCGTTTTTCTTTGAAGATGATTTGCATCGAAGACATTTAGACTTCACATGCTCAAACTTTTTGCACTCATAGTAAATAAAGGAGTCTCTGTTGTTCTTTTTCTCTTTCAGCATATTGATGATTTTTTTTTTGCAAATATCTTTTTTGAAATGCTTCTTGAACTTTAGAGTTACAATTAAATACTATATTAAACTCTTCAAAACATAAAGCACAAAACAGATAGTTCACTACACTAGCATTCATAAATAACTTGCTATTATCTTCATCGTTTTCAAATCATTCTCACCCCTAGACACATCATCTTCTCAACTTTTTTTGGTTGAAATTGGAAGACCTTTGGAAACAATTTCTCACAAATTATATTCTATGGAGACCAAATAAATTATCCTTCTAATTTTTCATCAAGAATAATTATTTTCGAAAAAAAGAGGTGGTCGAATGGTAGAGTGACCATCAATAAAACTATTAACTTTAATGTTTCTATAAGCTCAAATAATTAAATTAAAATGTTCCAAAAGAAAATAAAACCATTAATTTTTCAAATAAACCAAATTCCAAAGAAACACATTTTTAAATAATTATCTTGCAAACTGTTGGACGGCGAATTTTGGTTAAGGGCCACATGGTCTCCGAACGTAGAGATGAATCCACTGGACCTAAAACCAAAGAACTCGATGCTGGTGCGATGTCCCGCCTAATATACTCCAACGCTCAAGTTAGTAATCAGAGTAAAAATAGGAATAAGACACCAGAGAGTTTAGTGATAGGTTTTTCACTTGGTGTGGAGGATCATCCTTCCTCTTATAGCTTAGGAGGACCAATCGAGAAGGACGACGGTTGGAATGGCAGAGACGTCGTGCGCTATACGGTAGGACAGAGATGAGCACATCCCCGACAGTGCATAGTAGCCCTGCTGTCTGTGTCCCCTGACCATGTCGTCCTGGGCTGTTGGATGCACCCATCATACTGACAACACGCACCGCCAGATATGGATACGTATGAGACGTAACTATTTGGGATGTTCGTCCTTTCGTGAGCAGACACACCTTTTGCTCGGTGACACCCACACTGAGAATTTGTTTTCAGTGAGCCCGCGCCTGCGGGTGGTGAACACGTGTCCTATTCGGGAGCTACCCATAACACAAACAAAATATATTTTTCAAGCACTAATTTTCCAGGAAAATCATTACCTAGTAATGCTCAATTTTCTAAACTTTTCTTAAAAAAAAAAACAGATTTAAAATGAAAAAAAAAAAAAGTTAAAAAAATTGGAATGAAAACAATCCAAACTATACCCACACATTAATACAAACTCAATTATTAAAATAGAAATAAAGCAAAGAATACCTCGAATAGGAAAATTACACAAATTTTGCATTGACTTGATGCCTAAAATCACATTATAACGTATCTCTAACGACATGAAACCATGCAAACGTTGACTTTTTCTCCTTTCCAAGCCCGTATGCCACGTGCTGATTATTATTCATCCACTCAATTTATGTAACACCAACACACATTTCTTGGACATCAGCTGCACCCAACATGTGTCCCAATATAATTCGGCCACTTCGCCATTGAGTGTGCCATGTCAGCACCTGGTCGGCCCACTTGTCCATGCATGCATGACATCATTGCCACATATGATTTTTGCCTTCAACCTTCTTTAATTTCATGCCTGTTGATTGAGGATACGGCGCAGAATTGTCTTTCCCTCCAATTTATTCTCTTTTTTCTATAATTTTACAAAGAAAAAGAAATCCCTACAAGTAAATATACCTTTTTGGAAAGATTCATTCTGGTTATTTTATGCATTTACAAAGGTGATTTACAAGATGATCACCAACCAAGCCGCAGCAGGACTGAAAAATGGACTCAATTAAACACCTGTCATTATCTCATTGGACAACAAGCTATTATTAGTGTCCAAATTTGCTTCATGGCCCCACAAGTCCGAGGATGGTGAAGCAAGTAATGGCCATAGCAATTTCCTCTGCTTTCTCACTTTCACAACAATCATCCTTGCGTGCTGTTTAAGGACCCCATTCAATGCCTTGAGGTAGAAACTTGAGTCATGGTCCCTTAAAATGCTGCCCTCTGACCCATAAGCTGTAGGGTCACTCAGTGTCTCAAGTGGGTGAGGACAGTTCAGAAACGCCCTTAGGAGACCTTTGGAGTATCCATATTGGGCGCTGTCCAAACTGTAGAGGGCACTGCCCTGAGGAAGCATAGGGTGTGGAGGAGATGACCTCTCATCCGGCTGCAGAATGAATAGCTTACCCAGTGGGGAGTACAGGAGTTTCTGCATCAACAACACAAACAAAAACGTCGATAAAAACGACCCCAAAACATGAACGAAACGAAACGACTCTAGATTGCGTTTGCTTACGTTTTTGTTGAGGCAAGAATGCGCCCGGAACGACCCACTCAAGCGCTTGAGTACGGCAGCGACATGGTTCGGGTAGTTGCAGGAGAAGGCCCTCGGGACGATGTCTCGATGCATTACGACGCAGTGGATATGGTCTTCGTCCAAGCCCAATTCGTTTAGAATCTTGTGTCCACCGCAGAACACGAAGGGCGAGCCAAAGGTGACCACTGGTTGAAGCATGGAAGGTTTGACAATCCCATTCTTCACTAGCATCAAGTGCACCAAAAGCGAAAGACTGCCTCCAAGAGAATGGCCAGTGAACTGAAACTTTGCATGGTTTCCATATTTTTTCAGATGGTCTATTATTTCTGGCATGAATTGCTTGTATATTCCCTTCGCAGCTTCATAGATTCCTCTATGAACAAGCACATCTGTTCCCTATATTCATTTTCGATTAGAAACTTCAATGTAAGTTTTACTTTAGAGGTCTATTGCTCGGCTTACCTCAAATTTGGTGGGCTCGAAAAAGAGATTTGCTTGCCAAGATGCCAAGGAATCTGATCCCTGCAGATCACAAGAACTAACTAGTTAAATTCTAGCTTTGGTCATTGAACCTTCAAGGTTGAATCGTCTCAGTATTTTAAAAAGTTATTAGAAGTTTCCTAATTTTTTAGGATTGTGTTTATTTAGTCTCTATACCTTTTAAAAACTCTAATATGTATTTGAACTTTTAGATTTGTGTCTAATAAGTCATTGTCGCTAACTTTGTAAGTTTAATATTTACACCATCAAATACGTGAGCCTACCTGAAATCAACTGACCGAGTAAGCCTAAAATAATATAATATCAGGATACTGCATAAATGTTATACTAAAGGGGTTAACAACAAGCACTTATTAGACATAAAATTGAAGGTTCAAAAACCAATTAGAAACATTTTAGATTATGAAAATCGGATAGACACAACCATGAAAGTTCAAAGATTTATCAATCGCAACCTTGAAAATGAAGAGATTTTAGGAAGCACCTGAATAATGAAGCATCGGGTCAGGGTGTCGGAATCATCACAAACAAACCATTCACAAGGAGAAGAGTGAAGAGATTGAAGGTCCTTTGCTGTCTCCTGTTTCTGCAGCTCCACAGCAGCAACCACAGCAGTCATCGTTGAAGCTGCAACATAAGCAGCCACCTCGGGGTTATACGCCCGAGTTGAGCTCTCTCCCTCTTGTGATTTTGAAGGATTAGATGGAGGGTTCTTGGCTCTCGAGTGAACATAAGATGCAGCAGTAGCAGCAATCTCATAAGCAACAGTTGTGGGGATTCTTTGTGTCCTCTCCAAGTCCCCTGAACAAGATTCAGCAACAGTGAATGCCTCATCAGAAATACAAGTGGAGTGCTGATCCAGTTTCTCTTTGATAATGGCTGCAGCATCCGCTTTCTTTCGCAACGACGATGTAACAAATTGCAGGCCATAGTATCTTTCCAAATCCTCTGCCTGTAATGAATTTCAATGCATATCAAAATACACATTCAACATTGTAATCTCAAATTTTAGTAATACCTTTATTTCTGGTATAACATAAGCCATGTTTGACAGAAAAGCCAGCTGAGAAATAAGCTTGGTATCAGATAATGGAACTCGGACTAAAAATCTTGCAAATGATTCAGAATCATAAGAACTAAAGTCTCCTTCTTCTTCTGAGTCAGAATAATCCACTTCACAGCCACCACCACCATCTCCACCACAATAACTCTCACCAGTTTCGTCATCTGCATAAATCTCATTCTCAATTCCTCCCTCTTTTGACTGCTTCTTTATCCGCCAATGACTTCGAATTTGCAGCAGTCTCTCTATCCAGTTTGCTCTCTTTGCCACCTCTTCTTCACTACTCACAGTGGAACACAGTTCAGAACCTCCTGCGTTCAAGTCCTTGGAGGTTTCCATGTCAAACAAAAATGATCTAATTGAATTAGGAAGAAAAGAGCCAGATAACTCGATAGGAAAAATTCCCGTCTTATTATTCTTGTTCTTTGGCTGGGTTGATGTGGCATGAATTTTGCTCGCAGAGTAGCAAATATGGTTATCAGAATAAGATCTTTTGATCATGCAAGCTCGTTCACGGAGGTCCTTGCTCGAGTGTGAACGATGAATCCCAGTATATTCTTTGAAGATGATATCTTTTGTCACTGAAGAAGCTGGAGAACTGCCAATAGCCACTGAAGTACAAGCCATGGAGACTGCTGCTGAAGAAACTATTTGTGTTTAGACCCTCTACACAAAAAGGATGAAGCCATGTCAATAAGAGAGAGATGCAGTTTCTCTGCTGAAAATTGTCGACTTCCTCTTGCCTTGGGGGAAGCAATCTGTTATGGACCAATTTAGAGCTTATATAGAAATGAGCAATAATTTAATAATCAAGCAGATCTTTGGTTTGTCCGTATGGTCCTTAAATAGGTAAATTGATGGCATGGCATCCCATCTCATAGGAGCAGTGATCTTTGTTAGTAACGAAAATACTGTTTAAGTAGACAAGGATAACCGGATTTCACACCAATAACAAGACAGCTAAACTCCAAATCCTGTCTCTACCCCCTATGTTTATAATCATCCATTTACAAAGATTACAAAAGTAAAATCAACAAGTGGAATATTTCAAATTTTGACTGCTCAAATTACAAGCCCCACACTAAACTGACACCCACTTCACTAAGCAAGTATGTTTTTAAAATCACTATGCTTGTAGTATAATCATACCAAGACATCTAATATTGATATCATCTTGTCCACACGAGTTATTTACTTTAGTACTCCACCGTAATAACCTGCAACAATCAATCAAATGAATAGTCGCATGAATGAATTGACACCGCAACTGAATGAATGAGGATCCTAAAATTATGCAAACCTAGCTAAGAAAGATGAAAGAAAAAGTTACTAGTTATGCCGACAAGGGGCGTCTTCCTTTTTGATGTCCGTTTGTTATTTACTTTTGTAATCCGCCATAATAAACTGCAACAGTCAAATGAATGGTCGCATGAATGAACCGACACCGCATCTGAATGGGATCCTAAAATTATGCAAACCTAGTTAAGAAAAACTTAGAAATAAACAATTACTAGTTATGCCAACAAGGAACATCTTCCTTTTCGATGTCGGTTCATAGAAAGTCGAATGTTAAACTATTTGGCCAAAAGGAACAGAGCATGCTGAAAGAATTGTAGATCGTGATGAACAATTAAAGTGATGGAATCGATTCGCATATCGCCCTACCGCTACTGCCTTCTCTAGGAACTATCGATCTCAATTAATTACTACCACTTAGGAGCCGACATTGTTGAAATAAAACAAGCACAAAGTGAATTTCTCCAATTCAGACCGATAATTCCAACGCTCAGCATCAATTATAAAATAAAAACAAGCACAGAGTGAATTTCTCCGGAGGAATAAACGCGTTTTCAAATTGCAGAAAAATGTAAAACAAAAAGTGAAGATACGAATCTTCTTCGCTTCCATTAACTTTACCTCAATCTCTCGATTATAACCCTTCCCCTTCCGCCATTTTCAGTGAGATCAGCATCCACCGATCAGGAGCAATGGAACAGAATACAAATGCAGCGCAGAAAAAGGAAAATGGGGCATCGGAATCAACTAAGAAATCTCGGTGCGAGCGAATACGAACAGAAAATTGTATGGAGAAGAGTTTTGAGGAGATTGTGCAGATGGATCACAGTTTCAGAGATTTTTTGTTGTTGGAGGTGCGTTGGTGTCGCGTCTGTATGAATGTTGGCAGAAGAAAGAGAGAAGATTTTGAAGTTTGCTGTAAAATTGTTTTTTTTTTGTTTTGTTTTGTAATGTGAGAGTCTGAGAGTTATATAGAGAGGAGAGTGAGGCCGGGAAGAAGAACAATGGAGAACTTCCTCCATTCAAATTTATTATAAACTTTGTACGTAACTAATGAAACACTTTTTTTTTTCTTTTTTCTTTTATCTCTCGGTCCAGGATTCAACCTTCGACTTTCGTAATTGTAACAGGTGTCTTATCTACTTTAATTCATGGTATCAAATCTCCGTCAATATATCGACATGTCTATCGATATTTCCATATATCCATGGATCTGAAATCTAACATTTCCACCATATTAGAAATAAATTGCAAAGTATGAAAAATATCGACAAAATGTCACTGATATATACATAACATTAATATTAATCATTTTTAACTTATTTAGAAATAAATTGTTTATTTGTTAATTTAAATCTTTTTTATGATTTATTAATTTCTCTAATTTTTATAGAATTTATCCATATTTGTATGGAATTAAGACCTTGACATTCCCATCGACATCGACATTTAAAATCTTGCTTGTGTTATGTTACGATTTTCGCGGTATGTGGGTGTTGAACTTTTTCTTTTTTAGCTTTGTTCTGTTTTGGTCTAAAACTTAAAAAAAAAAAAATAAATAACTATTTTATTCTTTAAAGTTTTATATTATTTGCTTCGGTTATAAAAGAATTATTTTTGTCCATACTAGATTATTTTTCCACCTAGAATTTACTTACTCGTTCCTTGGTGGTTTCGTGTTAGAAGGAAGCAAGTACAATATGGACTTTTTTATTATATAGTTGAATGTATGGGAGAGACTAAAATTTATGGTTTCATCGTGCATCCAGGCCACCAATAACTTCAATTGGTAGGATCCCATTCAGATTTGACAATCACCCTCCCTGCTAAAAAATAAGTAATCTCGTGTCTCTCCTACAACCACGTCAATTTTATTAATATTATTTGAGCTCTCGAACCTTTTCAATAATTACTTTACAATTTTGAGGACCTATTTGATATGCCATTTTATCTTAGAATTCATCCATATAATAGATTTGTTTTTAAAAATTATTTTTGGATTCTTTATCCAAATAGTAGAAATTCTAAAAATATTTTTTTTATTTTAAAATAGAGAATTCCATTAAAAAAAACTTTTATAACTGTAGTATTTTATCCTATGAACCCATCTTATTTCTAAAAAATTACAACATGTTAAACGAATATATTATAAATTATATAATATTGTAAAATAATAATTATACAAAATTTATAATATATATGTTAATAAATTAATTAATAATATAATATTTAATTAGTAATTAGTACAAGTTTACCAATTTGCTTCTATACACATGCTTAATAACAATGAAAACATAGACTATTTTCCATTAAATCTTTTTAGATTTTATATCACCAACCAAAAGCCCGCTTTCGCTCTAATTTATTAACGAAACTCTTAACTTTTTAATATTTTACTCTTTCTCTATTTATACTACTAATAATTATTCTTCTTATAAAATTATAACATTTTTATTAGTTGATGTGATCTTATTATAAAATATCACAAAATTCTATTTAAATTTATCCTGTTATTATTAATTAAAATATCAATGAAACTATTTTTATTTTTTTTAGTACAACATATTGGGAAATGAATTCGAACTCGAACTCACTAGCTTATATGTTAATTACCGTTGAGCTATGCTCGCTTTGGCTTATCAATAAAACTATTAAAATAGAATTAATTATTATTAAATATTATAACAATAAAAATTAATGTATTTTATATTAATAATAGATGTTCTAATAAAAATTATTATTAATCTTTTAAGTAGATATAATTTTATTTTAATTATTTATTATGTGTTAATATTAAATAAATGAAGAAAGTAATATTAAAATGTCTCAATACCAGAATGGAATTTATAAATCAAACTTAAGCTTTTTAAAGTTTATTAAAGTGTCTAAGTCACTTACCTCATTAATGAACCAAATATTAACCCATATCAACAATCATGGTCGCAATGGAACATATCGAGCAAGTTTAAATTGACGTAACATGAAATCTATTAGTCCGAAAGCACCATGGAGAGCAACAATTCAAGCGGAAAAATTGATCTTTCAAAACAATGATCTCCAATTGCGGGGACTAATCAATTATAAATACAAAACGTCAATAAAAGATAATTTTATTGTTACGGGATGAATTTGGAGTGCCACGTTGAGCGGATGAATTTGGAGTGCCACATTGAGCTCCCGTGTGAATGAGTGAACTTAGGTGTGAATTCAGATCCCTCGGAACTAAGGAAGAGAGAAGTGTCAAGCACATAGAAGAGGAACGCCGAGTACACCAAATCAACGCGACTACGGTAACATTTAGCGACCGATCAGTTAGGCCCCTCTATAGAATCAAGAACATGCACTGAATGTTGGTGGCCCCCTCGTCTCTCATTCTGCTTTCTCCCTCTATCTCCCTCTCTCCCAGGAAAACTTAAACCCTCATACCAAGCTTCGTAAACACTATTGCAAAATATCTAGCTCTCGTCATACTCAATTTATCCCTTTAAGTTCCAACTTAGGTATCGGAGATGATTTGGTTCAGCTCCACACTAATGATAGTTTTCCTTGTTCACTCAAAGTCTTCACCAAGAAACTTGTGCATCAACAGTTACTTTTTTTAAAATAAATCTAAATTAATTTATTTATTTTGAAACTATAATTAAAATATTATAAAGATTTTTTTATAACTAGAATATTAAATTCCACCGCAGGTCCATAGATTCAACGTTGACATAAAAACTAAATCAAAATTTCTACGGGATCAAAAAATTTATTAAGATATCAACGAAACATCACATAGTATTAATAATAAGAATTTTTAACTTATTTTAAAATGTTAAAATGCTTAGTTATTAATTTAAATATTTTTTTGGAAATTTTTTATTTTTATGATTTTTTCATAAATATCTATCTACATCGGTGATTTCCATCAACATTTTCATAAAAATAAGAATTCGATATTTGTATGGATATCGATGTTTAAAACCTTAGCTTATAACTAAGTAGAGAAGTTTTTTGAATGCCTAATACTTTATAAAATTATATTTAAATATATAATATTGAGTGTTACACATAAGACCTTAAAATGACACCTTTATGCATAAAAACAGTCTAATCATTGAAGAGTTCCTTTTCGGCCGCTCCAACCGACCAATCAAAATTAGTTTGATCGGTTTGATTGGATTTTTTAGGGTTTAATGTCGACATTTAAAACCTTAGGTTTAAGATTCATTTGGTTTCTGAAATGGGGAAGTATTTTGAAAATAATATCGTGGAAAAATCAAAGTTTTCCCTTATTTAATTATTATTTGAAAATGTATCAAATTTTCAAGAAATTAAATTAGGTACTAGGTAGGTTATTTTGTGGAACGACTTCTAGAAATAATGAACTAATTAAAATTAATTAATGCTATTATAAACTAATTGATTTAAAATAATTAAAAAAATTAATTGAATAATTATATATATTTTTTTAAAAAGGACGAACGCTTATATTAAATTAAGTAGTTAAATAGAATTCAACTAATTAATTAGTTATGATAATAAAAATGTTTAAATTATAAATTTACCAAAACGAACTGTGCCAAGTCGTTACCTGAGTCGTGGGGTGTAGTGTCCCTTTTATAGGTGGATAGGGAGATAAGGCCGTTGGAGCCATTCCGACAAGCGGTTACAGTTTCGAGCTCTCAAGTAAGTGGTTGGACTTGAGGTTGGACTCCTCAAGTCGACAGAGCTTTATCTTCCTTCTCAGCTCAGTTGGTGTCAGGTCAATGAGTAAGGATGGTCTGTTTTATTATTTTTGGTGACTCCAAATTGAGTAGGAACATCCACACATGGATACTTAATTTTATAACCAACACTCAAAATAAAAATATAAAATATATGAGGTATGTATTAGCTGTAAAGTAAATGTTAGTAAGTTGATTTTGAGTAAGAAAAATAAATATAAGTATATTGTGATGCGATAGGAAGAAGTAGGGTATTAAATTTCAGTCAATATGTCAATATTTCCATCACCATTTTCATGTATCTATGCGTTCGATATCTCGACATGAAGGGTAAATCGACATTTCCACCGTATTGCAAAAAATCAGCAAAATATGAAAATATCAACAAATTTCCTCTAATATAGACATAATATTAATATTAATCGTTTCTAACTTATTTAGAAATTGTAAAATAATTTTGTTAATCTTAATATTTTTACGAACTTTTTACATTTACAATCTTTCTAGACATATCCCCATCTCGAAATTTATATCAACACCAACATTTAAAATCCAGTAAGAAGTTTGATAATGACATAAAAATATACATTTGGTGTGTATTTTGCTACTGGAATATTAAATAACAAATGTCACTTTCCTTTTTTTAGTACAACAAGTGGGGCGGAGGATTCAAACTCATAACTTTTTGGTCAGAGACGTGTGTCAATTACCGCTGAACTAAGTTCACGATAGCATGAATGTTCGTTTATGTATATCGAGGTATATATTTATGGACAATGTGCATACGTGGGCATGTCGTGAGATGTTTCTTTTGATATTTAAGACTCATGGAAAGCAGCAGCAAAGACACGAAATGTGGAGAGTGGTGTCATTTATTTCCTCCATGCAACCACACAGTTGCCCTCTTCCTCCTCCAAACCTCATTTAAGGCCTATTTTACCATTTTACCCTTCATTAGTCAACCGATCGAGTGAGTTTGAGATGACTTTTAAAAACAGCATTTTTCAAAATGGGTTAAAAGACACATTTGGTATCAGTACTTTTATTGAAGTGATGATTTAATCTACTTTCAAATGGATAATGATTTAGTTCTTAGATGTACTAAATTGTTACAAATTAGAGTTCATGGACTAAATTGTTATCAATTTGATGGTACATGAACTAAATTATTACAAACTAAAGTTCAGGGACTAAATCGTTAATTTAAATAAAAATAGAGGGACCAATGTGTTTTTTAACCTTTTGAATTTATAACTTTTTCTCTCCTAGAAAGAGTATA